TCTGTTTTGGCGCTTTTTTGGCTGGATCTTCGTCACCTAAAATGCAACAAAATAATTAGCCAATTAGGAAACAGGACCAGAATTTCAGCAAAATGCTCAAACTCGCACCGAATTTTCACCAATCAAAAGCATAATCTATGCAGATGCCAGCAACCCTGAACTATGTTGTAACTAATTCAAAAATTTTAATTCGCTGAAGGTTTTGCATTGTTCTAGGGGAAATAACAGCGTTTACAATCATAGCTAATTTGCGAAATTTGAAAAATTTTTGAATTTTGCCAATCCTGCAATCATGGAGGAAATATAATCCCTTCCTCCTCCCTTCCTTCCCCTAATTCAATCAACTTTGTTCATGAGAGACTGGATCAAAAATGTGCATAACTTCTAATGGTACGTTAAAAAATAAACCATTCCTCGTATTCTAAATTCTGTTTTGTCCAATAAACGCTGTCAGAAGACCAACCTTATAGCCAGCATTCAAGCCAACAGCAACTCCTTCCACCGCACGAATTTTAGCTTTAGACTCCATCTGTGAAAAGAGCTGAAAAAAAAAAAAGCGTAATAAATACGATTACAAAAAGCGACGGCGAAGCTTCCACAAGAATTCTGACTTTCATTCAACCAGAAAAACTTGTTCAAGCGCGAGACAAACTTAGCAAATACACTGAAGACAATTCCTCACTGTATGATACGAACAGATAGTGAAGTTGCGATGCGAGAGCAACGTTGCAACGAAAATATGAGCCGCTTACTTTGCAGATTTTTATTATCAATGCTTTATCAAAGGCCTAAATAATATAACATTTTTGAAGTCATAAAGAAGAAATACGAAAGAATTACTCGTAGGACGGAAGCTGAACAAACAGCAGGAAGCAATGGCACAGATGCACGGATAAACCACTGACAAAATTACAAATTGCTTTTTTTACAATTACAAATTGCTTTTTACAGAGCACCGGAGCGTCGATGCTAAATCAAACAAAGTTTAATTAACAGTGAGCTTTGTGTACAGAAATGTGATTGAAAGCTCAATGAACGAAACTGAAACTGATTTAAATGCACAATTTTTACGGTCAAAATTAGCTACATGTAATAAAAATCTGGAAGGAAGCAAATGAAACTGCAAGAGTTCAGATGAGAATCCTAAACTTAGCCAACAAAAGATGAGTTAGGCCCAGACAACAATGGCCTGACAAGACAGCGCAAACAGAAAACATAACTTCATTCCTCTCTTGAACGATATGCGGGGTGGAGTGGAAAAATGTGTTATGTGTGTCAAGCAGATTATGTTCAATTCCTTAATAATTACCACATAGCTCATACAAATTTCTCCATCTAGAAGCGCTCAAAACATGTCATTCAGCTCTCTACTAAAGAATGCTTTTCCGCAATCAACGAATATGAGCCAAGGAAAGGGTTGATACTTCCTTGCATGTTCCAGCAACACGCTTTAAATGAAAGTGTGAATCCTCATGCTGCAATTACTTCGGAATCCAGCTTGCCCCATCTGCTGTTCATCTAAGTGCCTTGACAGTCGGTTAGTGAAAATCCTCATAAACAGAACATAAATATGAAGAGTAAGCAGCTTGAAAGATAATTCTTCATATCTCCCTCACTTCCCTTTCCGTGCAGCAAAAGCGTTTCAACTTTTCTAGCTGTTATGTTTTCTCTTCTGCGAAGTGCTGAATAAACCAGATAGCGCGAGCTTTTCATGCCTTCCGGAATTGGTCAGTTCAATGATAAAGCCATCATTTCCGAGAGCTTCTTCACATTTTATTTGGAGAGCTGCATGCCTGACAAGTATCGGAGAGATGTGTTGTTTGGTGGCGCGGATTACAGGCGCTAGAAAGTCGTCAAGTTATGCAAAAAGGCTGTAGAATTTCCTGCGAATGCTTTCCATAGCTATTCGATCCGTTATCCGACATTCATTTCCGTCCCTCGGCATCTTGGAATGATACATAAAGCAAATAAATATACAAATCTACGATCAAAACAGCGAATGTTAAAATGAAGCGGCAGCAGCACGCAGCAGGAAGTGCAAACAGGAAAATTGAAGACCAAAAGTTATGAGAGTTAACTGCACGTTCATGAAGTTACTTCCCAGAATTTGAACTTTCCAGCTTAGAGCTTTTGCAGATCAAAAATCACATACGGAACGAAGGATGCGACATTTTCATTATTAAAAAAGACGAAAAAACGCATAAATTATTATAAAATAGTGAGAATAACAAGACCCTGGACAATCAGCGTAACTCTGTACATTAGTGGCGCTACTACCATGTTTCCACACGCCGGGACAGGCATGCCAGGCCCCTTTCCGAAAGACCAAAACAGTGCATACGCGAAGAAATAATAATTAGGTACATTTACAATAAGGAGAGTTGCAGCAATCAAATTTCTCTTACGCATATTCATGGAGTTTTTGCTATTCAGCCGAATGGCCACTTCTTGTGTGTTTTGTTCGTGTCTCGGCAGCACCGACTCGCATTGGGGAATATGAGTGATGATTACGCAGGGTTATTCGTGGTCCCCTTAAAGCGGAGCCTCTTCGCTCACTTGCAGGGCTGCTGCTCGATTTGAACGCTTTCAACATGGACGAAAAGCTCGTTGTTAGATGGTCTGTTACAGCAACAGATGGGTGAAACAGATGTACATGGGGCCAAACCGACTGCTCATAATTATTCGGATGCACCTGAAACACAAATGCATTCAGGATGCTCGAGTTTATTACAGACGTTAGATGTAACTAGAAAGGCTATAGTGATTTATAAGAGGAATTTTGGAAGCGCAAGATCTCATTTCATAGCTCAAACAAACCGTATAACTGCTGATGATTGCGAAGGGAAAGAAAACGCCAAATAAAAGCGCGTTGACCATCATACTATCGGTCAAGCTTGTTAGCACCGTAAGTGTTGTACCATATCCAAGAAAATACGGCCAGTTACGTTCAATCCGATTGATGCGTGCGTTTAGACCAATCCCCAGAGACATCCACAAATACTCAAAACTGCAAACAACAGAAAAGGTGAGCACAGGTATCCACATATAATAACTTATAAACTTCTGTTTTACTAAATTTTTCTACAAAAGTTCTTTGCCAAGTTCCTAACAGATGAAGTGCGTAGACGAAACTCAGGACGAATGACTAAGAATACAAAAGCTCGGCGGAGCCATGATTTGGCGCACCATAAGTGCACCAAACTACCATTCCTACACTAGTAACCAGGACTGGTATTTGTTCTGAAAGTAATACTTCAAATAACACATTCTCGACGACGCTTTTGGCCTTAAACATAATTGTAATAAATGGCCAGCGCACCGACTGCCGGTGCGAAGATGCGCTTTTTGCACAGTTCTCCGCAGGTTTTTGTCGCTAAAGGCACCTGTTTTTCTGCAGTTGCTTCTAGCTAAACGAATTAAGACTGGCCGCCAGGACTATCAGAAAATGCCCCTTTAAAATTTCAGCTTTCTAGCTTCCCTTGTTCCCACTTTAGCAACTTACCCGCAAAAAAATTCACGGGCCTGCATGTGGGGACCACGCATACCCTAGAGGACTGGGTTTGAGCTCGTTAATACTTAAATAGGCGGAGAATATCTCCTCGAAACTTCAGCTTTCTAGCTTTTCTGACTTCCGAGTTAGCAGATTCCCTGCCGAAGACAATTTGGGGTTTGGGACCCGTACGTGCATGTAGATTAAGTTCCCAAAGTTTTAGCCTTGTGGCTTTTATAGGTCTTGTGATGAAAAATCGGTACAGACGCACACACAGGCGCACACAGATAACCTCTCGTCAATACGCGTTTTCTGCATTCGTAGATGCAAAAAACGCATAAAAACAAACCTGAATAAGGCATTCAGCAGTGCCAAGTGTATAAAAGCAAGGAAAGATGAGATGTAGGGAACTGGCATGTAGTTGACGACCAGGGACTGCACCAAGAAAACAAAATCGAGCAGTCCCGCTGTAACAAAGTCACCGGCCATACGGCTGAAATATTGCTTCTTGTTACTTACACGACAAGTCACTAACTCTCAATAAAAAAAGATAGTATTTTATTGATTTCATTTGCTCAATATAAATAACTGGCCAATGCACGGGCTGTCCGTGCGAAGATGCGTTTTTTGCACAGTTCCCCGCAGTTTTTTTTGTTACCGGCACCGGTTTTTTGGTAAATGATTCTAGCTAAACAAATTAAAACTGTCCGCCAGAACTGTCAGGAAACACCACCTTAAAATTAGCAGCTTACTGGAAAAAAAAAAACTTTCACTGGCCCGTAAGTGGGTACCACGCATACCGGATTTCTAGGTTTGAGCTCGTTGAAACTTACGTGGACGGGGAACATCCTCTTAAAATTAGTCTTCTAGCTTTTCAGGTTCTTGAGTTAGCAAATTACCCGAGAAAAGCTTTGGTGAGCCCGTGCGTGAGTACCACGCTTACCCAGGGGCTGGGTTTTAGCTCATTAATACCCACTTGGACGGGGAAAATTCCCTTAAGATTTCAGCTTTCTAGCTTTTTAAATTCCCGAGTTATCAACTTACCCGAAAAAAAGTTTGGCGGGCCCGCACGCGGGTACCACGCTTGCCCCGGGGGATGGGTTTGGGCTCATTAATACCTAATTGGACGGGAAACATTCCCTTAATATTTCAGTCCCCAAGCATTTCTGCGTTAGCAGCTTACCTGTAAAAAACTTTGGCGGGTTCTTACGTAAGTACTGCGCGGGTAATGGCGTCCATTTTAGGGACTGGGCTCCTACGTGCATGTAGATTAAGTTCCCAAAGTTTCAGCCCTGTAGCTCTTGTAGATCTTGAGATGAAACGTCGTGAAAGACGCACATACGGACACATACACAGACAATCCCTCATCAATATTCGTTTTTTGCATTGTATAGCTGCAAAAAATGCATAAAAATGAAAGGACCATATACAGCAGGTGCTAGTCATTATGCGCTCTTCCACAACTAATAAAATACAAAAGTACATTAACGAAAACTTGTCTGCTTACTTTCTACTTAGCAACCAGAGAAGCTAGAGGCTGAAAACCCTAAGGAAGTCTCTGGCCGTGCGCAACCTACAGATTTTAAACTTAGCTTTCATTAAATCTCGCACATAAATAAAGAAAATTTAGTATGGGACACTGTTACAAAAAGCTGCATTTGGGAATCAGAATGAGCAGAAAGCTGTATTTTTGTGAAGATGTTTATTGTTACAATGCAAGCCCCCAAGCACGAAATGAGTTGCTGCTTATGCGTGTGTTTTGCGGTCAGCTCATCAATTCACAAGATTGCTGGCATTCTTCTAACTTGAGATCCTTGACCAGAGAACTGCTTCCACCCGATATGCTAAGCCACAAGAGCAAAATAGGCTTTCACTTACGTCTCGCTTTTAAGCATGTCAAATATCCGCACGCAAAAATTTGGCATTCTCTCCTCACGGCGGTTAGACGTATTAGAAAGCCAAAATTTCGTATGGCCTCACAGTGCAACACCGTTGCCTTAACTGGCGGCTCTCCCCCACTCTTTCCTCTTTCTCACCCCTTTTTTTCCCACTTTTCCTCACTTGCAAAATCAATGCAAATGTTTCAAAATAAGTGCAAATTGTAAAGCAACAATCACTTTTTTTTGACGACCACGTAAAAAAGCAAGTTTGCGCTGGCAAGTCTGGTGTGTGACACTACATATCATAATATTTAAGACATGAAGTCAAGCACTCCGCACATTTAAGAACCGCGGTTTAGTCCAAACAGATGGACGCCTGCTCTAAATCCCACCACTTCCCTTCTGACTAGAGTCAACTTGCTTATGCAAATTTCAGGCCAACTAAGGACACTTTCTATGCACAGCTACACTGACAAAGGTAACCGGTAAGTTAGAATCGATTTCGACTTCCTACCTCTTTTGATCATTCATTTTCCCATTCCCAACATCTTCAGAAGTATTGTATTGAATTCGCATTCATTTCACTGTTTTGCAATTAGAACTTGAGCAAAAAAAAAAAAACACAAAAATAATTTCTCTAAGTAAGTGAGATATGATTTTTGTTCTTTTTTATTGTTCCTGAACAAAAGCTTTATTTTTTGGTAATTAGACCTGCCCATGTACACACGAATTATGCATAAGCGTAAGCAGTTGATGAAATCGCTGACCTTATCGAAATGTTCGGCATTTGAAAGCCGGTGTACTTGGCCGAAGCGCTTGCAATGTCAGCAAACCAAACAGTGCCGCATATTCGTGATAACGCGAAAGCCAAGATACTTATTATGCCATGAATAATACGCAACAATGGGTAGTTTTGATTAGGCATTGTAAAGTGCAGGGCAATGACGAGTACCATATTCAGCGTTAGTGAATAAAAAAGCCTGAAAATCGTCAGCGATATGCGCAACAACCAGTAAATTCGAAACTTTTGGAATCAGTGATCAGCCAGTAAAATGGGTGGTCAGTTACTGCCTGAAATTTTTTCAATACGTTTTGATGCTCTGACAACTGTCATTTAATTGTGTCGCAATTCGTTCCATCGAAGAAAATGGCGATATTTCTGCGTCTATTCTGATTGGAGCTTCGTCCTCGAATCTACTGACAATGCTGTTACCGTTATTCGTTCTTCCCACAAAATATACTGGATGACATCCCCCCAAGCCGTTTGTACATTCTTCCAAATGAAGTATCAGGGGTCTTTCCACGCTCACTACAAGTGATTTTAGTTGGTAGGAAATGACTGCGGGAAAATTACCCCCGAAGAACTGCATCGAAGTCCAAATGTAAAGACCTCTTC